AATTCATACAAAAACAGAGATTCTGCTTTCAACAGCATTAGTTTACATGCAAGACAACTTTGGGAACTTTCATGAATGCAGAGCCTTGTTAGATTCTGGGTCTCAATCAAACTTCATTTGTAAATCATTGTTAGAAAAACTCAATATCCCAACGGAAAAGGTAGACATTCCAGTGGCAGGTATCAATCAGGGTATTACAAAAATTACACGGGCCATGAAAGGTATAATACAATCGAAAACATGTAGTTATAAAGTAAGTGCATTTATGTTAGTTATAGATAAGATATCTGATAATTTACCAGCTTTTAATCTTAATTTAGAAATGATTGACATACCAAAAAACATTAAGTTAGCTGATAGTTCTTTTGGAGTTTCAAAACCTGTTGAATTATTGTTAGGTTCATCTATATTTTGGCAATTACTATGTGTAGGGCAAATAAGACTGGGAAAAGACAAACCTATACTTCAGAAAACCAAATTGGGATGGTTGGTATCAGGGCCTGTGAGAACAATTGACAAAGGGGTACATTTTTCGGGTATGGTTTCATGTGACTTTTCTGCACTCAGCTTGAATGAACAAATGGAACAGTTTTGGAAGATTGAAGAATTGGACATACATAAAAGGGCCTTATCAGTAGAGGATAAATATTGCCAGGAACTGTTCAACACAACCACAACTAAGGATTTACATGGGCGTTATATAGTACAATTACCAGTTAGGGAAGATATTACAAAACTGGGGGATTCTTACAGCACAGCAATGAAGAGATTTCTAAACTTGGAGAAGAAACTGGACAACAATTCTAGTTTTAGAGAGCAGTATCACAAATTCATGGAAGAATATTTAGCATTAGGACACATGACAAAAATAGATGACAGGGAGGTACAGATACAAGGAGATACACCAAAATATTATATACCACATCATGGGATACTAAAAACATCATCCACTACTACCAAGCTTAGGGTAGTCTTCGATGGGTCAGCTAAAACAGACAATAATTTGTCATTGAATGATGTATTAATGGTGGGACCAAGGCTTCAGGAGGATTTATTACACATCTTGCTACGGTTTAGAAAACATAAAGTTGTCATTGCTTCTGATATTGAAAAGATGTATCGGCAAGTTCTCATTTCCTCAGAACAAAGGGATTTACAAAGAATTTTTTGGAGATTTTCATCGGACCAACCTATAAACACATACAAATTAAACACAATAACATATGGTTTAGCACCATCAGCCTTTCTCGCAATAAGATGTATACAACAAGCAGCATATGAACAAATGTCAAATTCACAAGAAGCTTGCCAAACTATTTTGAGGGATTTTTATGCAGATGATCTATTATCAGGGGGGACACAATTGAAGAGGTTAGGAAGTTAAAACAGGACATCAGTTCCATCTTGAGCTCAGCAGGCTTTCAGCTCAGAAAATGGGTTTCAAATAAACCAGAAGTATTTGAAGGGGACTTACAAAATAATCAACAAGTTGAGCATTATTTATCTGAAGACATTACTAGTAAAACTTTGGGGTTGTACTGGAATACTCAATCGGACATCTTGCAGTACAATATTAATTTCAATATACAATCTCAGACAACCAAAAGGTCAGTATTATCAATGATTTCTCAAATATTTGACCCTTTGGGTCTTGTGGGACCAGTCATAATCACAGCTAAGGTAATTATGCAATCATTATGGAAGCTCAAATTGGATTGGAATGAGTCATTACCTCAGGATCTTCACACCGCTTGGAACAAATTTAAGGAAACAATTTCAGATTTACACCAAACACAAATTCCAAGACATGTGTTATGCTTACAATCAAAAGACATTGAACTTCACTGCTTCAGCGATGCATCAGAAGTTGCATATGGGGTAGCAATTTATGTACGGTCAATGAGTCACGATGGGTTATATCATGTGCATCTACTATGTGCTAAATCAAGAGTAGCTCCGTTAAAGACAATTTCATTACCAAGATTAGAGTTATGTGGGGCGTTACTCAGCGCAAAACTTGCCAGGGAAGTTATACATACAATGGACATAAGATTTAATAAAGTGCATTTTTGGACAGATTCGACAATCACATTACATTGGATCAAGGGCGAGGCTTCAAAATGGAAAACATTTGTGTCACATCGGGTTTCAGAGATTCAAAACTTGACCAAAACATATGAGTGGCATCACGTCAATTCCAAAGAAAATCCAGCCGACATCATATCCAGGGGATGGAACCAAAATTACTCAACGATTCTTCACTTTGGTGGAATGGTCCAAAATGGCTAATGGAAGATAAGGAGAAATGGCCTTATTTTAATATGAATGACTTAAGTAATTTGGAAGTGCCAGATAGAAGGCCGGTTAAATTTTCATTAATTGTTGCAATATTGCATACAATTTGGGATAGATTTTCAAATCTTAACAAGTTACAAAAAACCACAGCTTACATTCTGCGATTTATAAATAATTGTAGATTGCCAATAAGTGAACGTAAATGGGGTATACTTACTGTTGATGAAAGGGAGGGCGCACTAAGAATTCTAATCAAAATGGCTCAATTGGAAACATTTGGTTCAGACATTTCGACAATAAAAGGATTAGGCTCATTATGTAAGACAAGCAGTCTCATCTCATTAAACCCTTTTTTAGATTCAGAAGGTATTTTAAGAGTTGGTGGACGTTTACAAAATTCAGATTTACCATTTTCACAAAAGCATCCAATTATCTTACCAAAAAATCATGTGCTTACACGGCTTATCGTTACTTCATATCATCTTAAACATTTACATATGGGACAACAAGCTTTATTATCTATTTTACGGCTAAAATTTTGGGTTCTTTCAGGGCGTAATACAATCAGATATATTCTGCACAAGTGCATAACATGTTTTAGGGCAAGGCCAGTTACGATAAATAATCTAATGGGTCAACTACCCAGATCACGAGTAGTAGCATCCAGACCTTTCCTTAATTGCGGTATTGATTATGGGGGTCCTTTTCAGTTAAAAACGAGCAACTTAAGAAATTGTAAAATTGTTAAGAGTTACATTTGTATATTCACTTGCTTTGCAACTAGGGCAACTCATATTGAATTGGTTTATGAGTTAACTACAGAGTCATTCTTAAATTGTTTCAAACGTTTTGTTGCTAGAAGGGGTCTTTGTCAAAACTTGTATTCAGACAATGCTACAAATTTTGTGGGAGCAAACAATCATTTGAAGGAACTATACTCATTTATAAGTGATTCAAATATCAAGTCAAAGTTTCTTGAGCATTTTACTGATCACCAAATTAATTGGAAATTCATACCTCCCCACTCTCCTCATTTTGGCGGGGTATGGGAATCAACTATTAAGTCTGTAAAATATCATTTAAAAAGGGTATTGGGGGAAAACAAATACACATATGATGAGATGTATACTCTTCTGACACAGGTTGAATCATGTTTAAATTCACGACCTCTCTTACCATTATCCAATGATCCACTTGACCTTGGTGTACTCACGCCAGGACATTTTTTAATTGGAGATTCATTAATGGCTGTACCACAAGAGGATCTCACAGATGTCCATGCAAACAAACTCAAGCGATATCATCACCTTACGCAAGTTATTCAACATTTTTGGGCTAGATGGTCGCGAGAATACTTGTCATCTCTTCAGCAACGTACAAAATGGAAAGCAGCAAGTCCTAACATCCAAAACGGCTCGATGGTTATTCTTAAAGATGACAAACTTCCTCCAATGAAATGGGAACTAGGAAGAGTAGTCGATGTATATCCGGGCAGCGATGGGATAGTGCGCGTTGTGTGTGTTCGTACTGCTCACGGTACATTCAAAAGAGCATGCGCGAAATTATGTGTTTTACCGATTAGTGACAATTAGCTCGTCCGGTTATATAGTTACTGACACAAGTTTAGTCTGTTGAAAGGCATGTGTTACTTCAGCCTTTCAAGGGGGGCGGCATGAACAGTGTAGCAAGGCCGACTCTGTGCGCGGCATCCACGCGCCGACTCGTGAGCAAGTGTCAACGACGACGAGAGAGAGATCCACGATGGCGACGTAAACAGACAGTTTAGATTTTAGAGTTCTTTTTTTGATTTGTTAGTTAGGATACAATATTATTTGTAAATTAGAAAAATATACAGTCCACAAAAATCGAACGGATTTAATTTATATCAAAACTACGGCAATCCAATACAAAACACCATGTTTAAAACCGAGCTCAAGAATTAAACTTTAGATGTACAACCCACTTCATGCGTTAAACTCGGTAATGGCGCTGAGCTTGAGTTGAGCTACGAATGTACAACCGGGCCTAAGTAGTTACTCAAACACACATTTTTACATAAATTTAAAATTAGGAGAATGCATTGATAATAAGTTATCAGTCAAAAATTGGCTGTAAATATTTTGAATTCAATTAATAATAATTAATTTTTTAATAAAATTTTTATTTTGTTCATTTATTAAAAAAAAAAGACGCTGCTCATGACGTATATACATGTTTTTTATATCTCAGATGATTAATTAATAATTAAATTAATTCTTAATACGATGATATAAGGTTGCCTGAGAAAAAATGGTCGCAAATTCGGGTTGCCAGCTGTTAAAAACGCGAGATATCAAAGATAAAGTTAAATAGAGTTAGCGCGCAACGACACTGGTTTGACAAGTGATAATATGTATATTATTATATATTTATCGACGCATGCTTTACACTCACATAACTGACACTTCAAACCAGTAGCGTTGCGTGCTAGCAGTCTTGAAGCAATAAATATCCATGAAGCTGAAGGACCAATGGAATCTTGTGATCAACGAGCTGCCAATGAAAACATAAGCGAGCTTTTCAGTAGTAGACTGAATTTTTTACTCTTCTAGATTCTGATAATAAAAATCTAAATTTAGTTATTAATATTAAGAAGCTTCTTATGTTGATTAGATTAAACAGCTTTAAAACAAGAATGCACCTTTTTAAAAATATGGTTTTTTTAGATGTTTGCATGTACGAAATGCGACAAAACTTTCCACAGTAAAGCTCGTCTCAAACGGCACATGTTTTCCCATAGAAATAAAGTCGTAACCTGTGATGTCTGTGGTGAGGAGTTTTCCGACGGCAGGACGTTAATGAATCACAGGCATAGTCATAGTAGTGTTTCCGGTAGACAGTTTCCATGTAGAGAATGCGGGAAGACTTTTGGATCCAGGAGTTCACAACAAATACATATTAGGATACACACAGGTGAGCAAAAATAATTAGAGTTGAATTATAAGTTGAGTTACATTTATGGTTAGCTTTTTATAATAGAAGTTCTTTGTGCTATTATGTTTTTAACCCTTTCAGTCATTGTGAATTATTACAATTTTAGATTCAATTCAAGATTACAATTTTGTGATTGTGGATGTATATATAGTATCATTTTTTGTTTAATAAAGTTTTGGTCCCAACTATAATGTTTGTACAAAGTGGCCTTTTCGAAATATTTGAACTAAAATATTTGTCGACACATCTATACATTGTCAGTCAACTGTATTAAACCATTGTAGATATTTGTTGATGCCTTGAGTCGATGGTAAAATGAAAATGTCACTCAATGAGTTCTTCTATTTAAAAATAATTACAATAAAACTACCGACGATAATACAATTTGTAATAATTTCTATATTTGTGAAGTGAAAAGACAGCAAATATTTGATTTCACGCAAAAAGCGCCTTTGTATCTGTTAATACGTATTTAGACCTAATAGGTCTCGTCAGAACAGTTATTCAAAGGTGTTCTCAACGTGAAAGATCAATATTTTCTGTCTTTTAAGAAGCAACACTAAAATGGCTTCAATACGGACGCAATAGCGACATCTGATAAAACCGTAAAAAAATTTCGAAACACAATTCAGATTTCTGCTTTAATCTGTGCTTTCTAAAAATTGCAAAGCAAAACATATGTTGATAAAGGTTTTAAAAGAGACGTGGGGAATCTAAAATTTGCATTCCACGACACTTCTTTTCAACTAAGCAGAAAAAACGATTTTATTGTCAGATGTCGCTATTGCGTCCGTATTGAAGCCATTTTAGTGTTGCTTCTTAAAAGACAGAAAATATTGATCTTTTACGTTGAGATTACCTTTGAATAACTGTTCTGATGAGACCTATTAGGTCGAAATACGTATCAACAGATACAAGGGCGCTTTTTGCGTGAAATCAAGTATTTGCTGTCACTTTATTCGGATATGCTCTGTACCAATTCGCTAAGGATTTCTGCTTAGTTGAAAAGACGTGTCGTGGAATGCAAATTTTAGATTCCCCACGTCTCTTTTAACACCTTTATCAACGTCTGTTTTGCTTTGCAATTTTTAGAAAGCACAGATTAAAGCAGAAATCTGAATTGTGTTTCGAAACTTTTTTACGGTTCTATATTTGTGTTACATTTTACATTTAGCGCATTTTAATTAACATCTAGAAATGAAATCTTCTCCGTCATGTTACGGTAAGTGATCCATTCTATCCAAACGTACTTTAGTAATTGGTCTCAATTTGAAATTTTCTGGGGTTGAAGAACGTAATGAGTTTGCAGAATTATTCAGTGTGTTGGAAGGTCGACCCTTGTTTCTTTGTACTGTTTTTTGACCAAAATTAAAGCTTCTGTAATATAAGTATAACCCGACAAGCGAGAGCTGACGGGTTGCGTGTAGAACAAATTGAAAAGTGGAAGGGATTGCTCATTTCTATTGAAGTCGGCTAGGAGTTCACATCGTGTATAACCGTTTAAGTACCTATACTATATACCTATAATCGCGATTAAGTACCTCTCCTATCTCTCTTAGAATAATTCCTTTTCTATTTTCGCGCAGCTCACCCGCCAGCTCTCGCTTGTCGGATTATACGAAAGTGCAGAAGGCCCATGATTGGTTTTTTTGAATAACCCAATTGACTAGCTCTATTTTGGAACTCCGGGCGGAGTTCCAAAATTTTCGGAGTTTTGGAATTTTAACCGGGCGTTTAATTTTACAAGTGCCAATAAATCAGAGGATAAGTTTATCACATGAACAACAGTACATGTACAGATGCAATATTCGTTATAAAACGAATTACTGAGAAATCACTAAGAGTATAATAGACCAACATTTCTGTGGCTGATTGACCCAAAGAAATCGTTTTGACAGAGTAAAACTCAAAGATGTAATCCATCTTGTGTTTAATAGAGAAGTTTCCCTAAATATTATAAAAACTATCGAAAACATCTAACAAAACAACAAAATGGAAGTCAGAATAGATGGACAACTTACACAACCTATAGAAATTGGCACCGGAATAAGATTAGGGGATTCATTGAGCCCCGTCGTCTTCAATTTGAACATGGATGGAATCATCAAAAGAGTTACCGAAGGTAGAGAAGATAAAGAATGGGAAACAAAAAAATCAAAATATTCTGTTATGCAGACGACGCAATATTGATAGCCCAAGATGAAGATATGAAGAGCAAAAGAATTTAATATGACAATCTCATCTCAGAAAACAATAGTAGTCAGCAATGAACCAACCAGATGTTGAACAAGTACACAAGAACAACCCGCTTGGCTATCTAACCGGGAAATCAAATACAAAAAGCAAATAGACTTAATAACACTCATCATCATCATTTAACCCGGATCTATCCACTGCTGGATATGTCTCCCTCAGTCTTTTCCATGTATTTCTGTTTTTTGCTGTTTGCATCCAATTTTTGTCGATCCGTTTTATGTCATCAGACCATCTTGTTGATGGACGACCTTTACTTCGATGTGCTTCTTGTCTCGGTCTCCACTGTATTATTGGCTGTGTCCATCTGTTATCCGACATTCTAGCTATGTGCCCCGCCCAGTTCCACTTAAGGGTCATAATTCTTTCTATGGCATCTGTCACTCCTGTTCTCCGTCTAAAGCTGGATTTTCACAGATCCGATATCCGATGACACGAAATAAGAAATTTTTTCGTACGAATATATTTGATTGTCGCATCCGACATTTTTTGACATATATGTCATATATATGTGTTATGTGTGAGATTATTGGATCGATTGATATTTATTTCAATGAACTATCAATAAATGTTAGCTGTTTTGTTTGATAAAATATATATTATATTGAGCTACTTTTTCGTCGTTTTTGCCTCACATAGTGTATAAGGCACAAAAGCAACACTTTATTTATTGCATTTTTATATAATAATTAGGTCGTTGTTCCATTTTAAATATATTTCAAATAGTAAACATAAACACTCCACAAAAGTAAGGTTAAAGTTCAAGTTAAAACGTCAACAATGTCAAAATTCATCCAATTTTCGTGCAAAAGTTAAAATATTTTTAACTTCTTCCGATGACTTTTAATTTCGTACGAAAATCCCACCTGGTATTTTTCAACCAATGAAATTCGGTGAAATTTATATCGTATCATCGTACCGTCGGATATCGGACCTGTGAAAATCCACTTTTATTTCTTTGTTTGTGATCCGATCCCTATGAGAAATGCCTAACATCGATCGTTCCATGGCTCTTTGGGCAACACAAATTTTATTTCTTACTTTCTTGGTTAGTGTTAATGTCTCTGCACCATATGTAAGTACTGGCAACACGCACTGATTAAATAGATTTAATAACACTACATGCATCTTTTTCTTGTAGAATGTGTTTAAGTAGAATAGTTTTTCTTTGCTGAGGAAATTTGCTAGCATATCTCCCCTGTGATTTCTATTTCCCAGTCCAAAATTTCCAATATATCCGTTGTGGTTGGTATTTTCGTTCTTTCCTATTTTAGCATTGAAATCTCCCGTAATTATTACGTAATATGTTTTCTTCAAGTTTCTGGCTCTTGTAATGTCTTCATAAAGTTGTTCTACCTTTTCATCATCTGCAGAAGAAGTTGGCCCGTAACAGTGGATTATTTAAATGCTGTATCTAAGATTTAGTTTTATTACCAGGTAGATAACTCTTTATAGATACTATAACTTATTAGAAATCGCTTGGAATTTAGTTACCAAGTTTTCAATTCTCTTATGTACCAAAAAGCCTACGCCTCCTATACCTTGGTTATTTCCTGAATTGTATTGGTACAAAGTGTGCCCTGATTTTAGTAGAGTCGTTTCTTCGCCTTTGAGCCTTGTCTCGCATAAGCCTCATCAATCAGCCAATCGCGTCCACTGCTGGACATAGGCCTCCCTCAGTTCTTTCCAGTGTTCTTTACACTGGGCCGCTTGTAGAAAGTTTCCCGCTAGACGTTTTATATCATCGGTCCATCTAGTCGGTGGTCGTCCTCGGCTTCTTTTATAGTTTCTGGGCCTCCATTCCATAATACGTCTTGTTCACCGTCCATCTTGTGCTCTGGCTAAGTGCCCTGCCCAGTTCCACTTAAGCGACGTGGTTCTTTCGATGACATCTTGAACTCCTGATCTTTGCCTAATTTGTTGGTTTGTTATGTGGTCTCGAAGGCTCACGTTCAGTATTACACGTTCCATGGCTCGTTGTGTAACTCTGAGTTTATTCGCAGATTTTTGCGTGAGTGTTAAAGTCTCTGCTCCATAAGTTTGTACAGGTAAAACACATTGGATATAAACCTTTCGCTTGAGACACATGGGAATTGAACTTTTTAGAATATGGCTTAATTTGCCAAATGCTGCCCAAGTTAGGCCTATTCGCCTCTGTATTTCATGTGTTTGATTGTCTCTGCTTATTTTGATTTCGTGTCGCAGATATTTGTAAGTGTATGTTTGTTGTATGGTATTATTGTCAATAGTTATATTTCCACTAGTACAAGGGGGGTACAAAAAATGGGGCCTCGAAGTAAATTTACAAAAAACGCAATATCTTTGCATAGGAGGAGAAAATACTGCAGATGACCTCGACTTAGAAGACGGGAAAATTAAGAAATGCGATCAATGTATATATTTGGGGGTAAAACTAACAAAGACAGGAAGAACTGATGAAGCCATAAAAGACAGAATAACCAAAGGGAAACGAGTTATAGGTGCATTGAATTCAGTACTATGGCAGAAAAATATAAGACCGGAAACGAAAAAAAGAATATATAACACAATATTGAAACCAGTAATCGTGTATGGCTCAGAAGTATGGCAGTTATCACAAAAACTTAAAGGTAACCTCTTGGCAGTTGAAATTGATTTTTGGAGGAGAGCAGCGGGAAAGTCTCGATTAGAACATGTGAGAAATGAGGACATAAGAAATCAAATGAATGTACAAAGATCAATTATAGAAGACATCGAAAAACAACAACTGACATGGTACGGACATGTTAGACGTATGGGGGAAGAAAGACTACCAAAAAAAATATTAGAATGGGTACCACCAGAGAAAAGAAAACGAGGACGACCACCAACAACATGGATGCAAGGAATTTCAAAAGCCATGTCAGCAAGAAATCTATTTGAAGAAGACTGGCAGAATAGACAGGCTTGGCGAACGGGAACCCAAAGGCGGATTACGCTATAAACGGGATATATATATATATATATATATATATATATATATATATATATATATATATATATATATATATATATATTTCCACTCATTCCATTTGTTATAAGTTTAGTTTTCTCAAAGTTTATCTTTAATCCTGCTCTTTCAGACAGACTTTTAAGCGAATGCATCAAATATTGACTCTAGAACTGCCATGAACAATTTTGGTGAAATATTGTCTCCTTGTCTAACTCCTCGACCTAAGCTGAATTTTTCTGTGTCTTCGTGTAGTCGTATAATTGATGTAGCGTTCTCGTATATGTTTTTGATTAGTGTCGTGTACCTGTAATCTATTCGGTTTTGATTTAGGGCTTCGGACAGTATTGTATAAGCCTACTATGTCCCATTTTATGGTCTTTCTTGCAACTCTTCTAGATTATTTTCTGTCCTCATCGTTCTGATGTTATATGTTCCGATGTGCATTCTGTATGTACTAAGCGAATTCTTGCCTCCTCCAGATTCCACGAGGCAGACCCTTTTCTGCCGTTTTTCGTGGCTGCCGTTGTGGACTTATCCGTAATCCTGGTCAAGGGAGCCTAAACAGGTACTAGTTTCCCGGGTCAGGAAACCCCCGAAATCTGCGGAGGACAGGGATTGATTAATTTTTCCTGATAGGACTATCTTTAAGAATTTAAAGAGTTCCTACCCGCTACCCTTCAGCTCAGCGGGTGCTATTGTTCGAGGTGTTAAATTATATAAACAACTGATCACTTCATAAAACAGGTTTGTGGAATTTCACACCACGAGCAAAAGCACCCCTCTACGCTGAATATTAATGAGTCTCTTAGAAATACGGTACTACTATAGAGTGATCTATCTGCCTCTAATTTGGTCTTAGAGGGGACGTATTGTCTAAAGTATGTCATTATTGTTTGGCTTTTGAGTGGTATCAACAAAATGTACATTATTTCGCAATTCGAAACTCAAATATTCTCACAAGTATCTTTCTAAAGAAGTACTTACTTACTTACTTACTCCGTGGCGTTACAACCCTTCGTGGGTTTTAGCCGACTCGACAACATGCCTCCACTGTTTTCTGTCTTGAGCAACCTCCATCCAATTCTCCACGCCCATAGTGCTTAGGTCTCCTGCTATATTATCTCGCCACCGGAGACGAGGGCGTCCGCGTGGTCTCCTTCCAGTTGGGACTTCCTGCCACACCAGTCTTACTGTTCGTTCGTCAGAATGTCTTCTGAGGTGTCCTGCCCATTGGAGTCTTCTGGACTTTATTTCTTTTATGATGTTGGCGTCTGGGTAAAGTTCTTCAAGCTCTTTATTAGTTCTTATCCTATATTGTCCTGATGTTTCATCAAGCACCGGACCAAAGATCTTCCTTAGGATTTTTCTTTCCCAAACACGTAGTCTCTCTTCATTTGCCTTTGTCATCGTCCACGTTTCGCTTCCATACATCACAACGGGTCGTATGATTGTTTTATAGACCTGTATCTTCGTACGTCGTGTTAGTTGTTTTGATTTTATAAGGTTTTGGAGGGCAAAAATACATCTGTTGCCGGCCTGAATCCTGTTGTTTATTTCTTGTGATCCGTTATTGTCTTCAGTTATTGTTGTTCCAAGATACTTGAATTCCCTAACGCGCTCAAAGTTAAAGTCATCGATGGTAATGTTCTGACCGATTCTGTCTCTGCTTTGGTTATTGCGGCTCATATACATATATTTCGTCTTGTTTTCGTTGATTTGGAGCCCCATCTTCTCTGCTTCCTTCTCAAACCTTACGAAAGTCTCCTTCATCCTTAATCGCGTGTTTCCTATTAGATCTATATCGTCTGCAAATGCCAGTAGTAAGTTTGGTCCTTCTCGATGAAATACTGTATTCGGTTTTTCGATTCTTGCACTTCTGATTATGTGCTCCAGAGCTAAGTTGAAGAGTTGTGGTGAAAGTGCATCTCCCTGTTTTAGTCCATTGTTTATTTCAAATGTCTCCGAGTATTGTTGTCCAACTCTCACCTTACATCGTAACCGTTCCATACACATCCGTATCAACCGGACTAGTTTTTTTGGAAAGCCAAGTTCCTGCATCGCTGTCCACAGTCTGTCCCTACATACTCTATCAAATGCTTGTTTAAAATCTATGAACATCTGATGAAGCTCACGATCAAACTCCCAGCATTTTTCCATTATCTGTTTTATTGTGAATATCTGGTCAATTGTAGAGCGGCCCGGTCTAAATCCGCATTGATAATCTCCAACAATTTCTTCTGTGTATGTTTTGGTTCTTTCTAGCAGGATGTTTGCAAGGATTTTGTAGGTGGTGTTTAGGAGTGTTATTCCCCTGTAGTTAATACATTGCTTTTTGTTTCCTTTTTTGTGTATTGGTACAATAACCCCTTCTTTCCATTCATCTGGCATTGTTTCTTCTTGCCAAATGTCTTGAATTAGCTTGTATATCGAACTGTACAATGCTTCTCCTCCATGTTTTAAGCACTCTGCGGGTATACCATCGCTACCTGGTGTCTTATTATTTTTGAGTTTTTTAATTGCCTGTATTACTTCTTCGTATGTCGGGTATTGGTCTTCTATTTCAGCTGTATGTACCTCTATGTTTGATGTACTTCTGCTAGATTGGTCATTCAATAGTTGATAGAAGTATTCCTTCCAGGTTTTTAAGATTTCCTTGTCATCAGTGATAAGCTGTCCACTGTCGTTTTGAAGAAAGTTTCCTGTTCTTGCTTGGTACCCGGTCTTGATATCTGAAACGCCTTTAAAGAACTGCCTCGCTTGTTTGTTCTTTCTTTTTTCTTCTATTTCTCTGATTATTTGTTCCTGATACTCTCTCTTCTTCCTTTTCATTAGTTTTCTTGTCTCTGTTCTTCTTTGTCTATACATTTCATTGTTGTTGTGCGAGGGGCTTTGTAGCATGTTCCTTCTAGCCATATTTCTTGCTAATATGGAGTACAGGCAATCATCATCGAACCATTTTTTTGTTGTTTTCTTTTTGTGTCCTAGTATTTCATCTGATACGCTTGTCAGAGCTACTTTGATATTTTTCCAAGCTGAGTCTATGTTGTTATAGTTTTCTGTCTGTGCTAGAGCGATTTTTATAGCCTTTTGAAATTTCTGTTCTGTCTCCTTATTACGTAGAACTTCGGTATTCCATAATTGTGTTGGTGTATTCTTGTGTGTTTTTTTGGACGCTATTCTTGTCCTTATCTTCGCTTTTACAAGAAAATGATCCGTGATTTCTAAAGAAGTAGTAATTATTTTATTAATTTGTACTATTATTCCTAGGAGAACGACCATATGGGTGTAAGTATTGTTGGAAAGCATTCGCAGATGGAGGAACTCTTCGAAAACACGAACGCATTCACACCGGAGAGAAGCCTTATGCTTGCGCAGTTTGTCCAAGAGCGTTCAATCAACGAGTTGTGTTACGAGAGCACATACGATCGCATCATTCGGGACCAGACCCAAAGTATTCCAATAGGTAAGTTTAAATTCTTCCAATTTTATTCATTTGGGTAAATTTGCAGATTCAAAGTTTATTTAGTTTATTAGTTTATTCCTGACATACATGTTAAGTAATTATTTCTTTTTCAGTATGACTCCTTTTTGTTGTTCAGTATGTTCCGATATGTTCGCCACATCTCAGGATTTAATTTTACATTTAATTCACCATTGCGATATGAACACTGCAATGAAACGTCAACCACAGATTGGTCCTAGAAAATACAAACGAAGGAGAAAATTAAAGCCTCACGAATTGGAGCTGATGTCCAATAGAATAGAGGATGGAGAAAACGAACAGTCTGAAGTAAGTGAATTTTACAGCTAGTCGTCTTTTACACGTAAGTCCATTGTATAAATTTACTTCATCCAACTCGATGTTGATATTGTAACGATAATATTTTGCCTACCACAGGGGCATTAATATAAGGTAGAAAATTGGGGGAAGAAACTATTGGGGGTGGAGATAGGGCAAGCAAAATAATCGCTACTGATGCGAACGGACACTCAGGGTTTCGTAGGAGAGCTGGGGTCGTGGATAAGTAAAAGATAAGGGCATTGGAATGGGGCAACTACAAAAAAAATGAAATAAAGGGCTCTTGGGATAAACAAAATAAAAATTAAACAAGAAACACCTCAAGGAATTTAATATAGGGCGCCACTTGAGGTGCCTAATTATGCCTATTACAACCACTAGTTGTAACTAGGGAAATAATTAGAAAATAAAATCAAAACATATCTTTTTCAAATAAACTCAAAAAGGGTTAGCTTAAAAAAAATAAATAAAAAGTTAAGAAAATAAAATTTAACCTTTAATTATGTGTACCACAAACAGTTACAAATACAAATAATACTAACAAAATACAAAAAAAAAACGACTTACAATGGCGCTTTCGGTTTACAACTCTGGGCGTTGGGGACCCTATTTGCGCGACATTTTGTAGCGGTAACTATTTAAATATTTATTTACTTTAAAAAATGTTTACGAAAAAAAAAGAGTACCTGATATCACTGAATATTATATCTCCTTTAAAAATTTTGGGGCTGGAACTTTACTCAAAAACACTGCAAAACAAACAAATGCTTCTCACAAGCTGCAAAATGGTCTGGAATGACCAGGGACAACAAATATACGATGAAAGCTGGGCACTGGACCATCGGACTTCGGGTTAATTAAACTGCAATCTTCAAAGCTTGGCTTTTCAAAACTTCTCAAAACACAAAGCTCTTCAAAACACAGCACGACCCAAATCGGTGATTAACTCAGACAAAAACTGACACATTACATTTGAGTATAATATTCACTTCTCCACATATAAATTTGCCGGTTCCTTGAAGAATACCACCCAAGCACCTTTCCGTCAATATCATAAACCAACCTCAAATTGTAACTACACATGCTACCAAACTTCAATACTTCTGATGAAAAAAAAACTAATAACAAAAAAAACATTACGAATTTGATGAAAATTCGGACTAAACAAACGAAACCAACTGCCCTTGACAGCGGCTCCACCGATAGTGACGAAATTAAAAATTTGTTCGCTTAACTTGAAAATCAACGAACTGCTGAAATAGCAAAACCAAACGAACGACGTAGATATCCTTTGAAACGCATTTACATGAAAAGAAATCGCCGCAGTAAAATAAACAACAATTAAATGGATTTATTACTCTACGACGTTAGAATGATTGAAAACACTTTTCGAAAGATACGAACTAAAAAACAGAAAACATTCTTCGTTTTATTAAGACGATTTCATATACGAGGCGACTTTAAATATACTTCAAAGAATCAATCAAATTTAAAATGCTACAATACCCCCACGTAAGAGCGAAAACTGGACTAACAGGAAAAGTTTTCGTTTAGGGCGAACAACAATCAGGTTGGAACAACAGTAGCATTTTCTAACTACTGCAACCACACATAATGACTTCAATAACTCAAACAGAACAAAAAACAACAAACAAAAATCATAACCAAAACTACACATCATAACTGTTTATGGTTCTAACATAATAACATACAAAATAAAACTGGATGCTCAATTTGACGAATCGGCACCAGGTACAGTTCGTTGGCTCTTAAGCACAACGACACAATGGCAGATTTCTACTAAAATGGCTCTAGCCTAACCAAAAACGTGGAACAGACCAGTGTTGAAGTTTCTGGGAGCGAAAAGAGGGGTGCTTCCAGCTCAACAAAGGCGGGTGGCCAACAACACAGCTTAGACAAGCTTCGCTATGGTTATCCACATAATAGATAACCAAAACAATATCAAAAAATAACAAACTTGACTATAACAGTCAAGCAATGAATTTTCAACCACTGGTTGAAAATTAAACCAACACAAAAGAAGAAAACAGGATGGCCAATAGTTCCATAGAAATATCCTCTGGGATCGACACAGCGAAAAATTTCCAAGTCAGGAAACTCCCAAAAGGACAAAAGAAGAAAATAAATCCAAAATGCTAATACACAATCTTGGAAAAGAAGAAAGAACAGGGGCACATGGCATACAAGCCATAATCAATACACAATCAGTTCAGTCTCAAACTAAATACTTCCTGAAGAAACAAAAAAAAAACTCGTAACAGTCTTCCAAAGAAAACAAAAAAGTTACGACAACACTTCAAAAGAAACAAAAACATCATTACAGATCTCCAAGGGAACATAAGAAACACTATAATCTTCCAAAAGAACAAAAAAATCATTACAGTCCGTCAACAACAATAAAACTTCCAACTGGGTACACAAATCTCAAAAGCAGGGCAAGAAGGGTAAAGAAGAAGAAGAAGAAGAGTAATATATATATATATATATATATATATATATATATATACACAAGGCAAAAACTAATGCTTATCTTCCTTAAAAGCTCAACAGGTCACCTGGCGGACGAATCCAAAACTCATCGACCTAGCCGTTCCTCTTATGACAACTAATAAGGTCAAAGACACAGTTTGGGAAGGGAATGAAGGGACAACATCAAGAAATAAACTTCATCTTTTCACGGATAATAATCAAATACAAATCATCATCATACAAATCACAAAGAAACGTTCACTATTCTTCAACAAAACTCGAATAGGGTCACAACATAAAACTGGGGAATTCTTAGTGGGTCATTCAACGGTAGTACTAAAAATACTTCAGATGTTTCACTAACATGGTCTCACAATCGACATAAACAATATTTTCACAATAAACGGCGGCCAGGTACTTTCACCTCAGCAAATCAAAACGTCACAATGGACAATGCAAGTATTTGTACCTCCGCTTCTACCAAATCATAAACACTTCATCACAAACACTACAACAAGAAGGAATGCTATTGAGACTAGGTCAATAGTCTTACTTCAACACTTAGAAAGGCTTATCCTTTCTAATAATATCACGGAAAGGGGATGCTGCTACGCAGTCTTACACAACAACAGAAATATCCAAGGAAACACAAATCCAGGTCACATGCCTGTACGTCCTACATGATATTTCAACAATACAATACTCAGATCACCAACTAATACATTTTAGACCATCAACATATCTCTACTACATCTGACCACACAAAGACACGGAAAGACACTAAACTAACAGACAGAAAAAACATCACAATACTTTCGCTATGTATTCTCAACAAATCGGCCTTAGCCAGGAATACACGAAGTCGTATCATCACTCTCCTCTACTTGTACACAAAAAAGAACTAGGTAGAAACACAAGACTAACAGACAGAAGAAAAATAACAATACTCCGCTTTGTCACTAACAAATCGGCCTTAGCCAAGGACAAACGGAATTGTATCATCATTTCCTCCTACTTATAACACAGAATAGGAACAAAGAAAACACGGGGAAACACGGAAATAACAAACATAAGGCAAATAACAATACTTCGCTTTGTCACTAACAAATCGGCCTTAGCCATGGACAAACGAAATCGCATTATTACTTCCTCCTACTTATAAAACAAAAGACAACACGAAAACACACGGACTGATCATGGACTGTAAAATCAGAAGCATTTTCTTTCTCGGGGCTAAAAAAATTTCACACATTGCCTGGACTATTAAACTTCAAAGATACGAAAAAATTTTACCTATATTTTTCGTACAAAACTGGGTCATTCAGATCAGCTGGTTTAGAAAGCAACTGTACACTTAAAGACGAAATAGATAACTTATAAACACTTAAAGAAAGGACAGCGTCTACATACGAAATAAATTATTTCGTTAACGTAAACAAAATTCTTTTCTCAGACATGGGATGATTACTTTAAGACGAACAAGAATAAACAAACTATTATCGTTCACATTTAAAAATGCCGACAATAAGGAATGACGTGATTCCAAATACGTATTTTTTCGATCTCAGAAAATAGACTGAAAAATATTTCTATGTAATTTTACGAAAACTGGACACAACAGAAAATGGAAATCGTAGCAGTTAACTTGGGACAGGAATAGACTTGATTTAACGAAAAACTGGATAAAACAAATCCACAAAATAACAGAAAAAAGAAAACGGTTCGAAGCGAACTCAACGAACTTCACATACAGGGCGGGACAAAAATACTAAAACAATGTTTGGGTGAAAGCAAATACACAATGTATACAAAACAACATACTCGATAAACTTCACATACAGGGTGATACAAAAATACTAATAATATTGAAAACTTGACTTTTGAGTGAGCTACACAAAATAACACAACATAAAAAACCTTGCTCTTGTTCTGAAAACTAAATGAGACTGCTCCTAGGCAAAACTAAACAGCACCTCCGATCACGAGTGATACACTTGTCATCATTCAGATACAAGACAGGAAACACAAAAAGGAACTCAGGGAAACACAATCTCCTAATCATCCGTGGCATTACATACGCCGTCAAATCTGGTTAATTAGGGAACAACAGGGGAACACAGGGGACTACTCTTCACATTCACAATCTCCTACTAGCCCGTGGCATAACGCAAACGCCGTCAGAGAGGGCCTAGAGGAAACAATGAAATGGCTAAGGACAAGGGACAAACAACAAAACACAACTGTACTCATCAGCTCAAAGAAAAGTCACTCAAACAATAAACACATTTACTCAAAATGACCAGACAAAACAAAATTACAAAAACCGATTTTTCTGTAAGAAATGTCAAATCAATCAAAAATAAATGGCACAATAACGGTACACTTAATTTGTTACTGTAAATAACTTAAAATTCTTCTCAATATCAAAACATTATTTAAAATTCAATTTAAATATTCAAACTTAAAATATTTGCTTTCATTTACCAATACACATAAAATACATATAGAAATATTTCTACAGTACACAAAATAAAAGAAACAACATTACATATGTCCATATACAACAAATACATCTGTTGATATACAATAATACATATGTCAATACAGGAACAATACATAGTAAAAACAACAATACATATGTTGATACAAATACATAAACAAACTGTTTGTGGGACACCGGGGCACTACTCGGAAGGCAGGGTTTCATAAAAATGGCAGAAAATTATGGCAGAAAAACTGAAAAAGATATGTTGCTTCTGGAAAAGGGACAAAAACCTACAGATGCAGGAACATTCAAAAGCCTGAAAAAGGCCCCACGCCAAGGGCGCCATTTTTGTAACGATAAGATACAAAAATGGCGAAAATCTAATACAGGCCACACACGTTGGGCGACATTTTTGTAACGATAAGTAAAAATGTCGCAAATCTAAGAAATGCCACACACGTTGGGCGCTATTTTTGTAACGATAATATTTTGCCTACCACAGGGGCATTAATATAAGGTAGAAAATTGGGGGAAGAAACTATTGGGGGTGGAGATAGGGCAAGCAAAATAATCGCTACTGATGCGAACGGACACTCAGGGTTTCGTAGGAGAGCTGGGGTCGTGGATAAGTAAAAGATAAGGGCATTGGAATGGGGCAACTACAAAAAAAATGAAATAAAGGGCTCTTGGGATAAACAAAATAAAAATTAAACAAGAAACACCTCAAGGAATTTAATATAGGGCGCCACTTGAGGTGCCTAATTATGCCTATTACAACCACTAGTTGTAACTAGGGAAATAATTAGAAAATAAAATCAAAACATATCTTTTTCAAATAAACTCAAAAAGGGTTAGCTTAAAAAAAATAAATAAAAAGTTAAGAAAATAAAATTTAACCTTTAATTATGTGTACCACAAACAGTTACAAATACAAATAATACTAACAAAATACAAAAAAAAACGACTTACAATGGCGCTTTCGGTTTACAACTCTGGGCGTTGGGGACCCTATTTGCGCGACATTTTGTAGCGGTAACTATTTAAATATTTATTTACTTTAAAAAATGTTTACGAAAAAAAAAGAGTACCTGATATCACTGAATATTATATCTCCTTTAAAAATTTTGGGGCTGGAACTTTACTCAAAAACACTGCAAAACAAACAAATGCTTCTCACAAGCTGCAAAATGGTCTGGAATGACCAGGGACAACAAATATACGATGAAAGCTGGGCACTGGACCATCGGACTTCGGGTTAATTAAACTGCAATCTTCAAAGCTTGGCTTTTCAAAACTTCTCAAAACACAAAGCTCTTCAAAACACAGCACGACCCAAATCGGTGATTAACTCAGACAAAAACTGACACATTACATTTGAGTATAATATTCACTTCTCCACATATAAATTTGCCGGTTCCTTGAAGAATACCACCCAAGCACCTTTCCGTCAATATCATAAACCAACCTCAAATTGTAACTACACATGCTACCAAACTTCAATACTTCTGATGAAAAAAAAACTAATAACAAAAAAAACATTACGAATTTGATGAAAATTCGGACTAAACAAACGAAACCAACTGCCCTTGACAGCGGCTCCACCGATAGTGACGAAATTAAAAATTTGTTCGCTTAACTTGAAAATCAACGAACTGCTGAAATAGCAAAACCAAACGAACGACGTAGATATCCTTTGAAACGCATTTACATGAAAAGAAATCGCCGCAGTAAAATAAACAACAATTAAATGGATTTATTACTCTACGACGTTAGAATGATTGAAAACACTTTTCGAAAGATACGAACTAAAAAACAGAAAACATTCTTCGTTTTATTAAGACGATTTCATATACGAGGCGACTTTAAATATACTTCAAAGAATCAATCAAATTTAAAATGCTACAATATTTTCATTGCTGTAGCAACTCTGTAAATAGCAGTAATAATTCCTAGCTGTCATTTTCGGTCTGTAATTTACGAATTCAATAAGGTTCAATACTACTAATGTAAAATTTTTTTACATTTTACCGCTCAGACAGCTGAACGTTGTCTAATTCATTATGTAAACAAATGAACAGTCAGGAGGAAAAACGGTTTTAGTCCATTTAGCAAAATTTTTCAGGAGACGAAAAACAAAGTTTATCCTTTTAAAAGTAAGGTTTAATTTCTGTTCTAAAAATTTAATTTTAATTTTACATCATGTTATTATTAAAAAAACTTACTTATAACACTCACTTTTATAATAGAGCGTTAATCAATAATCTACAATCAGTTACACAACACCTTACATACTAAATTTAACAGACCAAATTGTCCCACTTTTCAAAAACATTCCAAAAACATTAAATTAGTTAAATACAATACCCTTCTAAATTCAAGGTTATTCTCAAAAATAAAAGTTAAAACTCCAAATTCACTAATGAGTAACAGAATTTACCGAATAAATTGCAGTCAATGACACAATTGTTATATTGGCCAAAGTCAAAAGTGGCTTAAATAACGTCACTCAACACAAAAGAAAAAACTCTTGTGCCTTAGTGGACCACCACTTGAAGACAGCACATAACTTTGACTCTTCTTCTTCTTAACATGCCATACACCAAAGTGCGTAGGCGACTATCTCATTACTAGAATTCTGTTCTTGGTGGCGTGACACAGCTCACCTGTATTGTGTATTCCTGTCCATTCTTTAATATTCCTTAACCAGGATAATTGTTTGCGGCCGGCTCCTCTCCTACCTTCGATCTTCCCTTGTAGGATTAACTGTGGTATTTCATATTTTGCTCCTCTCAATATGTGCCCAAGGTAACCAATCTTGCGTTTTTTAATTAATTCAAAGAGTTCTCTTTCCACGCCGGCTCTATTAAGGACGTCATCGTTTCGAACTTTATCCACCCAAGGTATGCGCATCATTCTTCTCAATGACCACATTTCAAATGCTTCAAGTTTGTTGATAGATGTTTTTTTCAAAGTCCACGTTTCCATACCATAAAGCAAGATGGACCATATGTAGCACTTGACCATTCTGTGGCGTATTTCGAAGTTTAGGTGTTGATTACATAGGAGCGGTCTGAATTTCACAAAAGCTTGTCTTGCCATTTGTATTCGGGTTTTTATCTCGTGTTGTGGATCCGATTGGTCATTGATTGTGGTGCCAAGGTATTTAAAAGTTTTCACGCGATTTATACGATTGTCACCTATGCATATTATTTATATATTATAACTTTGACTCTAATAATGTAAAAATCTTGGAACAAGTTGATAATTATAAAAATCGAATTTTTCTGAAATGGTAGATATTAACAAAACTCCCGAATCTATCAATTATAAGAGTAAAGGAATTTTTAAATAAATAATTTTTGTGATATGATTGGATTTTATTAAATGTTTTTAAATCTTTTTATTTTGTAGGATTTGGGAGACAACTTCACTGATTCCGAAGAAGAAAAGGAACGGAAAAGAAGATACACTCGCCGACAACCAACTAAAAAGCCACAATCACCAGAATCTCCCAAGGAATCCGTCTCAGATTCGTTTGCGGAGTTGTATAATAGTGTTTCTTCAACAATAGGTAAGAATTGTATGTACTTTTCTAATTATATATGTCTTCTAGATGTGGCATCAGTGTTAATAAGCACGAGATTAAATGTATAATATGCTTAAAATATATGTATACTCAGTGACATTAGAAGTGTTACACCCAGAGGGAATATTTTCTTGAACTTAATTTTTGAGCAACATATAGATTATATTAAAACATGCTATGATAACAATACCAATGTTTTATCTTTTCTACTTTTTATCAAAATAATCCTTATGTTGCCAAAAAATTAAGTTCGATACATTATTCCTTCTGGGTGTAACACTTCTAATGTCATTGAGTGTATATTTGATTCATTAAAATCAAACATAGAAAGAATAGTAACGAACAATTACTGATACATATGTTTTTTTTTGTTTCAGAAAATATCAACTCATTGGTGAATTCAAAATCATCGCCGAAAAGCAAACAAATCAAGAAACTGAAATCTGACCAACCAATCAGTAGTAGACCAAAAATGATCCATACCCAAAAAACGCGGGTTCCAGTCGAGGCCGGGGAAGATGGGCGCATCAGGCATAAAACGAAAACGTTAGTCACCAGAACTCAGCCCACTGAGATCAAAGCGACAACCGGTGAGTTATAACGGGGCAGAATTCTTTTTTGGTTTAGAAGATGGGTTGGCAGGTGGTGTTGGAAGTGGAAAAGTCGACTTAATTTTTGTTGATTTAGTTTTTTTATTGTAGACTGAAGTTAGTAATATAGTTTGGTTTATTTTATTTTATTATGTCTTTTCTTTGTGTTATACTTATTGCATAATAATAATGATAACGACAGTCTCTTTTTCATGTTAGTAACATCTCATTTCTTTAATTTTTTTATCCAAAAGAAAGAATAAGGAAATCGTATAAAATGTTTTATATGAAAATATCGAATATATTTTAGAATTGGTAGGTACAGATGTATTAATAACAAAAGACTATTTTTTCACGATAAAGACAAAACACCAGTAATGTACATTACACAATATATATATACTACCGCTATATTGGACAGACAAGTAAATGGCTGAAACAACGCATTACTTAGCACAAAAGTGACTGTCATAAGGTAAAAATACAAGCGCTGTTTGTCGAACATTTCAACAATACAGGTCACTCTTATAGCTGTGTTCAACCAGAACCTTCTATTGCATAATACAGAACTTTATTCTGATCGAAATTTCCTCGTCACTCTCAACCCAGCAATCAGTCCAGCTGTCCAGATATGTAAAGTGTTCCATCATATCCAGGTTTTGTTATCTAGTTTGAGTGTTGACTCTATAATATTAATTTTTCCGACTACCATCCCGTTCGTTTTCTTTACATTGATGGTTAAGTGTTGACCGCGTTCAACAGAGTTTGAGAGTCTTCTAGACTGTCTGCCATTATGGCGATATCTGATGTTATTAATAATTTCAGCAACTAGTTAACACCTTCTCTACGATTGTTTATCACTGATTCAGAGAATGCAATAAACAACATCCGTGACATAACACATCTCTGTCTGTCTATTTGGATATTAAGGTACTGGTACCGATTAGAAAGCTAAAAAATGTATATTTTCAAAAAAAAAATTCTCACCTTTATTAGATACAAACATGAAGTTTTTTTAAATATTATTTTATCTTTAAGTGAAACAAACATTTTTTTGTTTTTAGTTCCCTTTTCTAGAGGGCGCCCAAGTTAACATCTCAAAAAAAGTGTCTGATCATAATCTCAGGATCTTATATAAAAAATTCCAACGGGATTACTTAAAGGAAGCGCCCTTGCAAGACAATCAACCACTTATAATTGAAAATTAAAATTAAAAAACAAAATGGCGAACATTTGAAGAAAAAGTTGAAAAAATCGGAATTTTTGCATGTCAAAATTAATTTTTCGACTCTTTTTCTAAAGAGCGGTTAATTGTCTTCTAAGGACGCAGGATTAAGTAATCCCGTTGGAATATTTTGTTTCAGATGTCAATCCTGATAATTAGTGTCCGCCATTGGACATCTTTTTTTGAGACTAACTGAAACGTCATCTAGAAAACTCTCTAGCTCCCTCTTTTTAGTTTATGGGAACTAAAAAAAATATTTTGTCTTTGTTTTAATTCAAAGATAAAATCATGTTCGTATCTAATAAAGGAGCTGAGAGTTTTTTTTAAATATGCATTTTTTCAGCTTTCTAATCTGTAGTACCTTAAACAATAAACAAGTAAAGCAATTACTTTATTGAAAATAAATAGAAATTCTAAAAATGATTTTGCTTGCAAGTTCGAGAAAGGACACTGAAACGGAAGTTTTACGCTGAAAGTAGCCGGAGAAAAGTGCATATGTTTAGTACTTTTAATTCTTACATACTCTCAGTATGTATCTGATCACGTCTTTAAATCTTATGTTATCAGCTTCATTAGGTTAAAGAGATGGCATTCTTGTTTTAACTCCATGTAAACTAATAAGTACTTAAGTTTTATATTTCGGCGTATCTACTCTGTATTGAGTACCCTTTTTTTTTAATTGACTTACATCGCCACGTTCTTAGTCTATAAGTGACTTCCATATAGTGTAGTGTATCAAAGTGCAATCTACTTCTAAAGCTGAAAACGACGTTTGGCAGTTTTAATTAGAGCCGTGGAACTAGTGAAACTTCTACGAGATTTCAATCTTATGAATGGGCAGACCAAACATGGGATAACATGATTCATTTTATTGCTTCTTGTTTTCAATCTCACAAATAATTTTCTATGTTAGAACGTGCAATGCTTATTATAGGGAATATTTTGTAAACTGGAGTAGGTTTTAATCACCCAGATATTATAAAACCAGTCTCACGGGCTTTTTTAGTTTTGCATATAGCCGCCTAGAGGGCGCCACCAATAAAACCTTCCGACACAAATGTAACCTAAATTTTTTTATTGACAGTAATCGATAGTTTCATTCTGATAAAGTTGTGTAGATACAATGAATTTTTGAAATTAGTAAGTCGGTTGAAAAATGGATCTTAGTCGAAAATATTTTCGAGCAAAAATTTTTACAATTTTCGAAGACGATTATCCCGGCAGCAATGTCTCGCTGAAATAGTTTCTGTTTTTGGAAATGAAGCATCACACCAGTCAACTATTCCCCACTGGTATTGCGAATTTCAACGAGACGCTCCAGTCTCAGCGACGAATCCAGGCCAGCTCCCCTTAAAATAGCAGTCACACAGAAAAACATTTATGCGATTCGTCAGGTAATTAAGGATGACTGTCTTATAATATACCGAGAGGTAGAGGCATCTTTGGGCGTTTCAAAGACCTCGATTCAAAAAATCTTACATGAAGAACTAGTGTTACGAATTTGGCTTCCGGTTCGATCCCTCATTTTCTCACAGAAGAGCTAAAAGCGGTTGGCGTCAATTGATGTCAACATTGGAACGGTTTAACAAAGGAAGCTCAAAAAAAATTTATAGTATTGTTAGTGGCGATGAATCTTGGATTTACTCCTACGAACTGGAAAATAAGCGCCAATCTGCTGTGTGGGTGTTTCACGATGAGGAAAAAACAACAAAAGTGATTCGTTTTCGAAGTGTTTCAAAGAAAATGGTCAAACTTTTGTGTCAAAATCAGACCATGTGGCAACAATTGCTTTAGAATATTCAAGAACGATTACTCGGATTAGCATATAACCGTTTGTTCACCAGAAGCTATCGTAAAACTACTTCGACAAAGCAATACACAACGGCGAATCATCCTACATCTGGGTAATGCAAGTGCTCACTCTGTCCAAAAGACGATAGAGTTTTGGAGCTTCAAAACATCGAATTGTTAAACCATTCTCCGTGTCCCGACCTAAGTCCCAACGACTTCTTCACATTCTGAAAGATCAAAAATTCAATGTGTGGGCAGCGATTCAGTCGCCAGAAGCAGCCATCGATGCCTTTAAAACAGCAATTTTACAGGTGTCAACTAAAGACTGGAATAACTGTTTTAGCAATTGGTTTGAACGTATACAAAAGTGTATCGATGTTGATATGACTTATTTTGAAAAGCAATAAAGTACTTTAAGTCTATACATTTTTTATTATACTATACATTACTGTAATGTTTACAGCTTGTAGCAAAGCACATAACCATTTATAAAATAGCAGTCCTTATTCATCTCTTAAACTATAGTCAGTATTAACTACAAAACAAATATCTTTAGTCTTTTTATGGGATAAAATTACTGGCACCTTAAAAAGACTAAAACATTTATTTAAATATCTTTCAACTTTGTAAATAAATTAAATGTTTTATTGATTAATTTTGAAAGAACCCTGATAAAAACAACAAAATATCTTGAAATAAAGAAAAAACAATTAAGTTTTAAACGAAACATAACATAACCTAAAAATATGAACTTTGAGTTACACGTAAAACAGATTTGTTTGGAAAGGGTTTTAAAAACCCTGCCCATTGTGACGTCAGAGCTTAGGTAGTTAATTTAACAGTTTAAAAATTATTAAAGCCCCTGAAACTTGATATTTTATCCGAGCTAGGAATAACACAGCCTTTCCAGTCAAAAGCCAAACGGAGACTGCTTCATAATTTAAAGTGGATAAATTTTGATTTCTGAGTAGTTCCAAATAGTATTCTTATGGTTCAATATTCCGAAATTGGTTCGATCATACGTTATTCAAAAATTCTCGCTAAAATTTTACGTTTTGTGGGCATTGTTCTTCGGTTCTACAAATTGATGTAAGTTTTATTTGTACCATGTAGTCATGTGTAACACTGTGTAATATGATACTTTTGTGCTGATACTTTACGGTGCGTCGTGTGTATTGACACCGCGATAATAAAGTGTCATGCCATGACATAGTAACACCGCCGTAACACTCCGAGTGTTCCCGAGCAATGCAATTCACTGCAATAGTGCGATTTGATACAAAATACAACAAAAAGAGATAGTGTGTTCCTTTGCTTAGTGTCTTTTGTTCTCAAAAAGGTTTTATTTGTGCAAAGATAAACTCTTGTCAGAGTCTCGCACAACTATTTAGTAATTGCAAAACAGATGTTACAGCTTCTTCATCTGTTTTTACAATATCTTTATTATATGATCCTATAATAGGTAAAAAATACAATTTATAGTGTATAGATTATTTTTTATATACAAAAATATTTACTGTCATTCGTCAAAATAAAAGAATAAAATCTGTGATTGCAATAACTCTCTATTGATGGCATATGCATTAGGGAAGGTTTCAAACTTTGAAGTAGTGTCAATGGCTTACTGTGTTATATGACACAATAGTGCTGACACACTGAACTGATACAATAAGCTGCACCAGTGTTGCTGTATCAACACCCAAAAATTTAGTGTGTTACCCATGGTTAGTACCATGTTTGCTCTTTCCACAATATAAATACAAATCTACACTCGGCCGTCGAGTGTAGAGTTTTTACCATTTACATAAGTTCTTACTTAAATATGTTCTTGATTCCAGGTGAGAGAGTTCGACCTCGAACGAAAAACGTCAACTACCATATCCTCCAAGAAAAACTACCTCGAGCCACTTTTGAGGAACCTCCAAAAGATCCAACTCAAGAGGCAGTTGATAATCTTCTAAAACAAGAGAATGTTTTTGTGGACCCAGACCCAGAACAAGAACATTTAGATCAACATTCTCAACCGAATAATGGCATCATTTATATGGACCAGTTCGAAGAACCACCAGAAGTTGCATCTGAACAAACCATAGAAAGCGAATCGCCCTCGACGGTTGAAATAAAAATGATGACAAGGTCAAGGACGAATAGTAATAGCTTGAAACCCGGCAGGCACATCATAGGTCCGGGAAGTAAAGTAAGCTTATAAAATTAGAATATTTGTAAGTGTGTACAATTACAATATTTAAATTTTTATGACTGATATGCCAATATCTATTTAGATCTTCTTCATTTACCATTCCTCAAGCGCACAGTTGTGTTTTAGTTTTATTTAACCTGGAAGATCCCCGTTAATAATTCTCCTCCTAGCTCCTGGAAACTTTTCTTATTCAGATGGTCAATTAACCGGTTCTCTAAAAAAGAAGTGGTAGAACAGGACAAATTCAAATTAGCAATAAACTAATTAGGCTATAGAAATCTCCGGTTTCAGACAAGAAACATTTATACAATACTTATATAGAAGGTATTTATACCTTTATTTCCCTTCAGAGTAGATCATTGTTCTTATCTATCGACACTCTGTCTGAAACGTTGCCTTTTTCGAGAAAACAAGAAATTCAGAGACCACATTATCAATCCAGTAATTAACCATAACCGTGTTTCTGTAAAATTGTACTGGATTGGAGAGACAGTTCAAAATTCTATTCAAAGTTCTGACAAAACAAAAACCATCACTTAAATTTCGCCTAATTATCACAGATAAGAACACCCTAAGTGTAGCTTCGGCAAACGTACTGCTCCCGGTTGCAATAGCATCCCTAGTTGCCAATTTAAATCACTGTAAGTGGACTGCTTCAATATCCTCTTCCTTTAGCCATTGTTCTATTATACAAAAAACTTCAATTTTCTTGTCTGCAATAATAGTTCATCTACTCTATTCCGTAATGATTGCATGTAGTGACCTTAGGTTGATGTTTGTTTCATGAATAGTATGTGAGATTTTAAGTCACTCCGTCAGGCCATATTTCTGAACATAATTACATAGGTCGATCTTCCATTGGGACTACTAATTTGAATGAGCTGCAATGTTAGTATTTTTTTAGTGGGTATATCTAAGTATTTTTTGTATGTTTTAATAACCATTGTAGACATACTGATTTACATCTTACAAGCAAAAATGTCCATTACAATTTGATATTTTTTATATCTTTATATAAAGTTAAATAATAATTTCTCCTGATGACCTGGTAAAAATATTTGTGTTAAAGGCAATCCCAAAAGGAAAGTCTTTAAAAAAATGAAAATTAAAGTCTTTTGTTTCTTACAATCTGATAAATTTGGTGGTGTATATGAGACAATGGTTAATAAAACACATTCTACTGGAGTCAGTAGAAATGGACGCTTTTAGAAGATCAGTAGGAGTGTCACGCAGAGAGAGAATACGTAATGATGAGATAAGATAGCGAATGGGGGTTGACGGTTCTCTAACAACAGACAGAAAGAAAATGGCTGATATGGTACGGACATGTGGATGGATAACTCAAGACTCCCAAAAATAATTGTAATTATAAAAATAATTATGCAATGGGTACCACCAAACCGCAGAAAGAGAGGTAGACCCAAGAAATCTTAGAGAGAGGGAGTTACGAAGGCGATGAGCGCAAGAGATCTTAAAGAGGACCAATGGGATGATAGAGTGTCATGGAAATTAGGCATCGGACAACGTCGCAAGACGTTTTAAAACCGATTGATATATATATATATATATATATATATATATATATATATATATATATATATATATATATATATATAAAAGGATCACTCAACAGAGTGGTGGGCTCTTATATCGGTCAATTTGTAGGTGGAGAAATGAAAGACAAAGTTGATGTGCCACTCTATCTATTTTGAAAACGTTTCGCTTTCGTATTCTGAAAGCATCATCAGTTCATTCTAAAAAGTATAATATAAGAACCACACAATCATGGAAAAGATGTTACAGGTGTTACCTTAAAAAGACATGTAGCAGTCAAAGATGTTAACAAGCTTATGAATTAAACTTGAATAAATGGACAATATAAAGTAGAAATGTATAAACATTTAATTTACTAACAACATTTAGTGACTTATTAAAAAATTAGCACAGTGAGTGACCGTGTGGTCAGAAGTATAAAAAATATATATTAAATTATAACGTAATTGATGCAAAGAACTAAGAAAATCAACGATTAACTTCCAACAATAGATAATTATTAAGCTTTAATTTTAACTTTTGGTAGCATTATTAAAAGATGTTAATATAATTTAAAAAAAAAAAAAAATAAGTGTAAAAGAATGAAGTTACCGGTCTAAGCCTTACACCTGCTACCAGGAAAATGGCGTTAGATTGAACAGACTGACACAGAACCACGAAAAGACAGCCAACCTTGAGGTTGAAATTATTTCAACAGAACAGCAAGGTCAGAGGTACCACCTCAAATAATTGAGCGGTTTATTTAAAAGTTAATGAGCTTTGGATGACAGCCCGCTTGTAAGAGACAATCCAATGAAAGAAACTGATATAGCAATAACAATTACTCGCATTAGCCCGTCTAAAAACAAACAAACAGGAGAATTTCATTCAAACTCTTATATTTAAATTTATGTTAAACATTGTGGCTGAAAAAATTTTGCCAACATATATACATATATAATATATGTTATTAAAACATGCGAAACATACTTTAAGGGATGTACCTTCTCAAAAAAAAATTGACACTGACTGAAAAAATACTGACATATGTTTACCTTTTTATCCGCCTCCTTTCAGAAAATATTCAGCATTATAATTTAATCTGCCTTGGCAGGTTGTAGAAAAAAGGTAAAACTTACGATAAATTTGTGTTTTCACCACCATGTAAAGATGAACTTAGCTGCATTAACTGGAACTTTTTTATCCTGCTGATTTGCCAAATACTTTACTTTATTGCATACTATTTTTTGGACTGCTATGCCAGAGATTACTTAATTGCCAATATCTGCGAAAAGTGGATACCGCTTGACTAGCGGACCCTATTTTATCCCTTCAGATCTCAAGAGCAAGTTCATGGTACCACTTGAGTGGCCAAAATGCCAGACCCAAACCAGCTAAAGGCCAGACCAATACTGAATTCCTTCTCCCATGTCTCGATAATCTGTATCCGATAAAACAAAACCCCGGGACTTGATTTAATTTTATTTCTCAGTGATTTCAGTATTGACAAACACTTATCATTCCGTTAGCTCCAATTTCCAATTCAAATAAGTGTTTGTATTTTGTTTATTCTAATCTAAGAGACACTACAATGTTTTTCTTATACAGCATGGAATTTGAAACACGTGAATTAAAACTTACACAAAACGGAATTTTAAAATGATACAACATATTTGTGTGATATTCCTATTTTAACTATAGTTGTCAAATTATTCGTACCTTTATCATAACTTTTGGAATAAGTCTCTTTTGATGTTTTTAATGAAACTTTTTTAGGTACGAATGGTAAAGGAAGGCATGATAATCTCCAAAAACCGTAACAAGAAATCTGAATCCGAGAACGAATTTCCTGCCGATTCTCCTCCACTTCTACAGCACATCAAGCAGGAAGATCCTAGTCCATTGCACGAACTGGCCGAAATTTCCATGCAACATGCAAATGCCAATGCCCAGAATCTCTTTAAGTGCGAAATGTGCAGTGAAGTATTCACTGATAGGGCTCAATTACTTGTTCACGTGCCCATACATATTTGATAATAATTGTTCGCTGACATTCAAAATGTATTATTTAGTAATGGAAGATGAGTAGGTGGCTTTCAGTTTTTAACTAAAAGAAAATGATTTGTTTAAAGTGGCTATTAAGTACAGAACCTGCATTTTCATTTGTATATATTTTTACTATTAAAATAGATCGATTATTGAAGTAATTTAGTTGAATTTTACTTTTTTTGTACCGATGCACAGTGAATTATCGATCTCAAAAATATTTAGTTCAATAGTTTTCGATGCCTTAGAATATCATTTTGTTACTGCTTCATCCTAAAAGTTATTTTATTTTTGATTCAAATAATTCGGGTTTTATATACTCAACTAGATTAAATTAAGTCCAAATATTTCATTTGGTCTCCAACCCAATAAATGAAATACATTTTTCTCGTAGCCAGCTCTGCGTAATGGATTTTCTATCAGTCTATCAGTCATCGTTGGAGTGCGTTCAACAAAGTGGCTGTGATAAGATGCATTATCCAATATTATGGCAGAGTTACTATCTACATGCTGGAGAATGTTCTCCAACCACTTCTTGTAGCATATGGAGTTCATAATAGTCCACGGTTTTCTTCGATATAAAAACAATCATTTTCCAATGATATGTGTGGATTTAAGAAATTGATTCCGGAATGGTTGACAGTTTTAAAATCGGTTCTTAACAATGATTCACAATCTCCATTTTCTTCTTAGAGTATACCACTGAGATTAAAGAATCGTCTTCCATGAAAAAAAGTGCTCGCTAAGTTTTATTAGGCAAAGTACTAATCTGGGCTTCGCTCTTAGTGGAATCTAACCCACATTATTCACCACCAACGACGAATTTAGCTTTCTTAACCTTATGAGTTACCACGGTCATCTAGATTTACAAACTATTAAGGCGCGTACACATATGCGAGCCGAACGGTATGCATACGGTTCGCGAACACAATATTCGTTAATTTGTACGGCAGACAAAACTGCTCGCGAACTGTTCGTTCGTTGCTCGTCGCGAACCAAATTGTGGCGGTTTATTCCACGACTTCAAAAGAAGCTCGTCGTTCAGTTTGGACGGCGCTACTAAACGCAGCGAACATTTTTATTGTCTCATCAAATCGACATTATATGAATGACGTATTCCTTCCTAGAAAGACGTGAAAAAACAGTAAACGGATTATTGTACATATTTTTATTTTTGTTAAACAAGCAAATGATGTCTTGATTTACATTTTTGAACGTGACTTATTTATGTGTGTAGAAGAAAGCTTCGTTGGTTGTAACAAATCTCCCAAATTGTTTTTTTGAGTCAGTTGAAGTTTTTGAAATTTTTAATTTATTCTATCCTATACTAGGGACTCTATTACATTGTATAGTACAGTATACTTTTTTGAAATAGTTTTTAAAGTAGATATAAAAAACAGTTTAAATTTAGTATATAATTTTCGGCGTTCTACATGATGGCGCAGTGGTCCGAGAATAAATGTATTGAACTAATTGATTTATATAAGAACAAAACGATACTCTGGGATCCGAAAGACCGTGATCATTTCCGAAAAAACTTAAAAGATGATGCATGGCGCGAAATAGGTGAGACTATGGACATGCCACCAGGAGATTGTAAACGAAAAATGATAAACCTATTGGCATCCTTTAGGAACAGAAACACGATAAATCAGTACCCAAATTATAAATAAAATGAATCATTTCGCACATGTGTGTTCGTTGCTGGTTTTCGCTTTCCATGGCTCGCGAGATGTTCGCGAACCGTTCGATGTAGATATATTTTCAACGAGCTGTACGCGTACCGTTCGTATACCGTTTGGCTCGCATATCTGTACGCGCCTTTATGTTTAAATATGCTTGCGATGTTTCTGTTGCAATTTTGCCACGTCGTGCGTTTTTTGCTGTATTATATTTAGTTTTTGTACTGAAATTTGTCATATTATTATTTTAGTTCATTGTATTTAAAATTTGCCGTAATTTGTGGAGCCCATCTTCATCAACGATTAAAATGGCGTCATATGTATAAGACAGTATTTGAATATAGTGTCATCTAGTTAACTTACCTTGTTCTACTTTTTTTTTAAGGTAAATATACCTCACATCAACAAAGTCTAGGGCTAATTATACTTCTCTAGACATCATATATTACAAACTTATTATTCTTTAGATGAATTTTAGGTTTGGGTTTAGTTTTTTATAATATTTGCTTGTAATTTATATGTAAAAAGAACTCAAATAAAAGTTTGATAAAGATAAAAAACATTTATTTCTGCAATTTGAAAATACCGCTGCAGTCTGCTGCATAGCAAAGCTTTCGCCATCACTTTTGCAAAGTTGTTACTCTCACATCATCCCACTCTGAAGCTATCCAGTAAGAGATATCCTTACGGTGATCTTTTTAAGGGCTGCTTTCACAGTCATTACCTCAGGTCAGCAACACTTGGAGAAGCCTTCGACGATACTTCAGTTTCATAGCCTCTAAAACTCCTTGGTCCAGAGGTTGAATGAGAGATGTGACGTTTGGTGGCAAGAAAACAGCTTTAATGTCACTGCTAGCCAACGAACTTGCATCTAGATGATATGGCGCGTTGTCCAAAAGAAGAATAGCTTTTCTTGGTAGGTTTTTCTTTTTTAAGTAGGCCTCAATAACGCAAACGAACTCATCAAAAAACCAATCTTTAAAAATTTGGCAATCCTCCACGCACTACTTTACTTGAAGATTTTTAAAAGCTCTTAGATTCTTCGATTTTCTAATAAGTAGAGGTATTAATTTTAAGGACCCAGAAGAGTTGCTACACATCAAAAGAGTTTCTCGTTCGTTGCTGTTTTTGTATCCAGGCGCATTTTTTTCACTTTGATGTGCCAGTGTTTTGGTTGGAAGCATTCTGAAATTGAGACTCATCTCGTCACAATTGAAGATTTGGTCTGACGTGAGGCTGTGCTATAAAATTTAATCTCTCAATTTCAGATGATTCGGCCGAAAGTTTTTCACCCTAAATGTTCAGTTGTCGGATGCATACCTCTTCTGTCATCTGTCAAGCCAACGATCACTTACAGTAAAATTTTGTGAATTGGACTTCCTAACGAGAATTATTTTTATTTATTATTGAGTTAATGCCTCGACAACTATGATTATTGGCATGGTACAGTCAGGTACCTAGTGTAGTGTGTGTGTGTGTGTGTGTGTGTGTGTGTGTGTAGAGTAATTTTCTTGATACTTAGCAAAGTCGACGTCATTGTCTTTGCTAAGAGACGCTAATTGTATCCGAACGACTGCGGTCCCTCCGATGAGTACCGATCGCACAAGGATAGAAATTATTTTCATTCATTAATTTTAAATAAACAAAAATTTCTCCACTCCGATGAGATAGTATGTAGGCGCTCTTACCACTGAGCCACAGAGGGGGTTTCTCTCGAGGATTAGAAAACCATAAACATAAGGCTTCACAAATCTGTTCGTATTCTCCTTTCTTATAGTTTTCCGCAACAATTCACTTTCAGCAGTCACACTTTTAGTAACCAATTGTTCAATATCTTTTCGTTTACGTCTGCAATTTCCCACAGTCATTTCCTTAAAGTTTAAACAAATTTCTAGGCTCTCCTAGTGAACCGATTTGAATTTTACAAAAGCGTTTGAAAGTTTGAGCCTTCCTTTATACGTAAAAAAATTTGCAACTATCTGAGGACCTTATTTAGGGCCTACTATAAATTTGAAAATTTGCGATTTTTTTCCAGTAGGCTGGATTGCACAATTATTATGCAAAACCTATCCGACCGATCATAACAAAATTTAGCACACATTTTAAACAGTTTTTCTAGGCGGAATATGGAGCTTGTAAGTCAAGTTTAGAAAGTCGAAAACATTTAAAGCATTAACTTCATTTTTTTGTACTTTTTTCCAATTATTGCTATTTTTTCAACAATAAACATTAAATTTTCAATTTCTATCTAACGAAATATTGTGTAAAATTGAATAACGAAACTTTTAACTTCGTATAATTTTTTCTCTAGGATCAATATTTTCCGAATTATAAACGAAAATAGGAGCAAAAAAATGAGAAATTTTCAATTGTTTTCAGATTTTGTTAAATAAAAAATTTAGCACAGGGTTTGCGACTGGCGCATATCGTGATTATCAATATTGGGCACATCCTGAACGGATTCCAGCAAAAAATAGCTTCCTATGGAAAATGTCCAATCCAAAACAGATCCCGTCTAGACTAATGTCCAAGAGATCTTCAGCATCCTTTGAAAACTCACATCTCAAAGGCTTCTACACGTCTCATACTTGTAATTCCGAGAGTCCATGTTTCCACTCCGTATAGCAATATGGAATAAATGAATGTTTTTACAAATTGGTATCGGATATCCAACGATAAGGTAGAGTTTATTAGGAATTTTTTCAGTCTTTGAAATGCGGACCTAGCATACTCTATACGAGCACGTATTTCGCAACCAAGATACAGAAATTTTTGTACGGGTTCTATCTGTTTGTTGTAGATACAAATATTATTGTCGGCATTTGGTGCACGTGTAACGGCCATAACTTTTGTTTTATTTGTGTTTATATTCAGCCCCAAGGTATGTCCCTCTCTGGTTATGGTATTCAAAAGGCGTTGCAAACCATCAGCGCTGTCCGCAATAATGACAGTGTCATCTGCTTGTCTTAAGTTGTTTACATATTCTCCGTTGATTTTTATTCCTTCTTCGATATATTTCTATAAATTATTAAAACTTTTTTTTTCTTGTTTTAGCGCTATTTTCGAAATTTCTTATTAACCACGTAATGTACAGTAGTTGAATCTGTCACTTCGAAAAGGGCATAAATCACACTTACTTCTTGGTGCCACTTTTTCTTAAAGCGTTTTACAATTTTCCGAGAAAAGGCCACATCTTCCTATACAAGAAGTCAAGAGGTCTGTTTAATACTGGCTATTTTTACTTTTGAACTTGCTGCTCTAAACAAATCAATCGATCTGCATTGATACCAATCACGTAGATTCTTC